AGCTCCGCACCTTGTTGTCTTAAATTGGTGCTTCTTTATTCTGAGATTATACCCTACATTCCCCGACCAGGGGAACCATCCTGTCAGCATTTAGCATGTTAAGAGTCCTTAAGAATCCTATATGTTTCAATGAAATCATCTCTTATTCTTCTAAACTGCTATGATGTAGAGTCCCAACATGTTTAGCCTTTGCTAAGAAAGGCCCTCCATACCAGGGATCATTCTCAAGAACCTAGTAAGTCATTTATCTTGGCTGACGTTTCAGGCCTAGGGTCTAGCCCCGAAACGTCAGCTTTCCTGCTCCTCTGATGCTGCTTGGCCTGCTGTGTTCATCCAGCTCTACACCTTGTTATCTCAGATTCTCCAGCATCTGCAGTTCCTACTATCTCAAGTCATTTATCTTGTTGGTTGACTATCAGAATAATTTAGTGGTACTTATCTTGGCAGGAGTTAACAGTGACTGAAAAATCCGCTGTTAACAAGATGGGATTATTTCAAACATTCCCATCTGATGTGTTTGTTTTAGTATTATAGGTCCTGAGGCTTTCACATGAAAAGAACATGGACACAATTTTGTTTTTCAAAATTGTATATTTAATTAGTTTATTTTGTTTTCCAGAGCTTGAATGCCAACATGGAACAGAATAACATCATTACCCAGAAGAAAATGAATGAATTTGAACTGCTCGGAAGGGTAATTTTTAACAATATCTTAGGCATTACAGAAAGCATATTCTGAGGGTAACATTATTTCCCATGAATATAAGTTTGGATTCAAGTTACTTTGCAGAACTCGTGCACAAATGTGCTTCAGTGGATGATCAAGGGAGTGTTATGTTCTCAGATTGGTTCCTTTCAGATGGTATATTAAAGGAACGCTACATTGGCCTGTTTAAATAAACCATCAGATCCATGTACTATTTGAGGAATTGTCTTCAACTCTCTTTACACAACAATCATAACAGAATCAATTTAATGGTCAGGCATACTTAATGGGACCATGCTTTGTGTAATTTTGCATGCAACATTCGCTTAAATAGATAAAAAAGAACCCAAAGAGTACCAAATTTGTAAAATACACCAAAATTGGTGGTATAGTGGACGGTGAAGAAGGTTATCTAAGATTACAAAGAGATCTTGATCAATTGGGTCAATGGGCTGAGGAGTGGCATTATGTACATGTATGTACATGGCAGATGAAGTTTAATTTGTATAAATGTGAGGTTTGGCATTTTGGTAATACAAAGGGCAGGACTTATACAATTAATGGTTAGCCCTGGATAGTATTGTAGAACAGAAAGACTTAAGGGGTTCATAATTCTTTGAAATTTGCATCACAGGTAGACAGGGTGGTTTAGAAGGCAAACCTCAGTAGCAGCCTTTGTATATCATTTGTATTTGCCTTGTTTAAAGAAAAATATTTCAACAAATAAAACTTCTGAAATGACTGATACATATGATTATGAGTTGATGTTGAATATAATGAATTCTTTTATTGACCAGGTGCTGAATGAATTATCATTATATGATGTTACTTTGATTTACGGCAAATCACCTTTGTGGAAGCGAATTTTCAATGCATTTCGATACCTACAGGTACAGTTTTTTGAATGCTACTATCTTGACTCTTTTTTTTACAATATGACCAGAGATCATTTTTAATTACTGCTTTTGAATTTTTGGATTGCTGCTGCTCCTGTAGTGCAAACAAACTCAGTGACCTGCATTCTGAGTTACACTGTTCCTGTCAAAAACCTCGTGTGCTTTGACTAAAATCCAATAATTTAAGACTTAAACCGATTTATTTTAGTTCAATTGGGTTAATTTTTTTTTTTAAACAATGTACATAGAGTCACACAGCATGGAAACAGACCCTTCGGTCCAACCAGCCCATGGCGAACGTAATCCCAAACTAAATTTGTCCCACCTGCCTGCTCCTGGCTCATATCCCTCCAAACCTTTCCTATTCGTGTACTTATCCAAATGTCTTTTAAATGTTGTAACTGTGGAACACCACTGGTCACAGCCTTTCAGCCTGAAAAGCAACCCCCCACCATTACTCTCTGTCTTCTGCTGATAAACCAATCATGTATCCAATTGGCAAACTTACCTTAAATCTCATCTGACCTAACTTTACTAATTAGTCTACCATGTGGAACCTTGTCAAAGGCTTTACTAAAATCCAAATAAACAATGTCTACTGCTCTGCCATCATCAATCTTTTTGGTAACTTCCTCGCAAAACTCAATCAAGTTTGTGAGATGCAATTTTCCTCGCACAAAACTATGCTGATTATCCCTAATCAATTTTTGTCTCTCTAAATGTCCATAAATCCTATCTTTTATAATCTGTTAAGTGTTGTGTAGCATCAGTGGTGGTTGAAAAATAAATCATGGGCAGGTAGGCAGAGGGAAGGCATTCTTTTGGTTTTAATGCCCAGCCTTCTTCAAACTCACCAGCTGATGAGTGTAAAATCTGTCTCCTTTTCTCCACTCTGCAATCCTTAGATAGCAAGTTAAGTTCTCACAAAGCATCATTCTCTATTATTTCTGATCAGGAATACTGGAAATATTCATGCCTGAATGGTATAAAGTTTCTCAGATGTGTCACATAATCTATCCAGATCAAAGCTCAAACTTTCCAACATGGCACATACTCATGTCATGCTACATCCTTCAGTGCTACTCCTTGATTTATTACATTCCACTTTGCTCAATGATGCAACTGTTCTCTTGTCTTGATGTCTTGAGATCACTCAATCCACGTTTAAGTCAATTTATACAGATAGACATCTGTCACCCACTTGCCCCTCACCTTTCCAGGTCTTATCAGATGAATGATGAATATGATAATTCTGCATGACACCCACATATTCTCCCAAGTTCCCTCTGGACTCCGGTGTCCCTACTGTTCTGAAATATCAGTCAATGGCAAGACGGTCATGGTTACTGCTTAGCTTTTAGCATTGACCTCCCAACCCCTGTCCATTCCCTACAAATCTGTCTCCATGTCAATAAATCATTTTGCATCTTGTCACTGATGTTGGGATGGCACAGTGTCATGATAGAGGAACAATCTGAACAATTACTGGATAGAGAATCCAGTCCATAGCTCCCAAAGCTCTCCTCCATTGAGAGCTTCTTCCTGTCAGAATCTGAGTCTGTTGTAGAGTGATAGAGATCAATTGCAGTGTGCCAATCCTCTTCATTCCTTAATTCACAGTCACATACTTATAAGAACAGATAAAAGATGGTCGAGGAAAGGACTTTATTCATTTAGCACAGATAATCAAGCCGTTCAATGGGAAGCTTAATGATTCATGTATTTTATGATCCTGGTTGCTGAATTAGCCCTGCAGCTTCAGCTCATTCTATATACTTTTTTCCACTGGAAGTTGATACTTCAAGTACAGACAGACCTTTGCGTTGTCAACTCCTTCTATGGTATGAGGTAATTGCAGAGTATGATAATACTGATTATTTCCAAGTATCTATAGTTGTTCATTAATCACCCAAGGTCGAGCCAGTATTCCTTGCATTCCAGTCATTAACTAAATATCTACAGAAGGAGAGAACTCATTTGTTTATGCTCCGTGTTTCACCTTTCATTGCCTCCCTGATAGCCTGGTAGTTCTTTGACTCAATAGCTATTCTCACTTACTACAATTCATCATGCATATTATGGTTAATCATTAACTTTTTAACGTGTCCAACACTATGATTAGTTGTATCCCATTGTATAGTGAGATTACCAGGATGGAGCAAAGCAATTCAATCAATTCATCAAGCAATTCCATGTGCCACTGCTTGAATAGTCTGAGGGAATATCTCCTTGTCCCTGTATTGCAGATTTTCTCATTAACCACTCCTCATCTGGTTATCTTCTTTTCTAATTTGATGTCCCTTTCTTTCCTGGTTTTCATTGTCTGTTTTGGACTTATTTTCTTCAGTTTGCCCTGTTCATTTTTTTCTTCTCCAACTTCATTGTGTCTCTCATCTTCTTCCAAGTAGTACCTGGTGAATGGGACACCAGGGAAGGAAGTAACTGGGGAGGTGGTTGACTGATACTGGGTTGGGGAAGCATCCAGCCACAGGTGGGAGGATTTAGGTGACAGAAAGGAAGTCAAAAGGCTCGATGCCTGAGATATCTAAGGTGGGAAGACAGAGAAGAATAGTTTGGTGCTGGAGGTAACTAATGCTCAAGAATATAAAATGGCAGAACAGAAACATTGTGATGTGGAATTCAGCACATTTTTGTCCAGAAGTTATGGGTCAACTTTGGGCTTATAGTGTTAGCTATCAGATTAGGATAGGAGTGGTGTGATATGAGCCACATTTTGGAGGTAAATGCAAGATTTATGCAACCAGTAGCAATATCATTGCAGAATAAAGAAGGAAAAGGTGCTCAGGTTACTGGAGAGCAAAGATAGTTGGAGACCGTGAAGAAAAGATGAGGTTTAGATGTGGAAGGAAGGTGAAAAAGGAAAGGAATAAGTTCTTAAATTGGGAGTAGGAGGATAAGTTCTGCTCCAGTTGCATACTTGGCAAAAGTCCTATTTAAAGTACTTCCAGCTTGTATAGCCTTTCTTGCAAAGAAGTCTTATGTAGTAGCTGCACTGTAGTTCTGAAGCCAGTCAAACAGTGTTGGGAACTGTTCCTCTTAACAAAATAAAAACCCTGTTATTGAAACAAAAAATGAATTAAACAACATGACCGTCAGTTGGCAAAGGCTGACTCACCCACTTCAAAATCACATTTTTGATGAAAGGATGGAGCATAAAGAAAGTAGGGGTGTTCTGTAGGGAGCCAGGGAGTAGGGAGTGGTGGGGTCCCATGCAGAGACTTAACTGAGAGGAAAACTTGAACAAAACAACAGTTGGCCTATCACTGACTGGAGACTGCAGGCTGTGAAGGTATGGACCAGATTGCAGTTTGCTGACAAGATTCAGCCAAGAGGCAGGGTACCACATATTATTTCAGAGATAGTAGGAACTGCAGATGCTGGAGAATCTGAGATAACAAGGTGTAGAGCTGGATGAACACAGCAGGTCAAGCAGCATCAGAGGAGCATGTGGGAGAGAGATCTACTGAGGTCTTTCCGGAGGGAGGAGGGTATCTTCTTCAAGGTAGGCATGTGGGCATGGTAGGCATTTCCTAAAGAAGGGTCTAGGCCCAAAATGTCAGCTTTCCTGCTCCTCTGATGCTGCTTGGCCTGCTGTGTTCATCCAGCTCTACACCTTGTTATCTCTGTATCACATATTATGCAAGGTTAACCAGAATAGGTGCAGAAGCCAGGGTCAGACATATTGGGTTAGCTAGTAGCGGCAACACCAGGTAAATCACAACAATTTAAAAGAATGGGCAGAAAGGATAAAATTCTTGGAAGTGGATGTGTAACGTTTCAAATTTACTAAGATAAATATTACATGTACTTAACACTGAAGGCTTCTGTATTGAAGAAAAAGACATAACAAGAGATCAGCTATCCCAGTAGCTCTGCTAATGGGTGAAATAATTGCAAATATCTATCAAGAATCAAGTAAAATTAGTGGTCACTTTATGGAGAAGAATTTATTTGAATGCTATAATTTAAAAGGCATCAATGATGAATAAACAGTGGGCAGGCAATAGAAATTTGTCATACATTTAATCCCACATGTAAGTGTGCATTTATTACAAATACTACATCATTATTCAGTTTTTCATTCCTGGGATGTTATTGAGGACATTAAAATAAATAAAATGTGTGATTCTGAAAATGTATTGATTGCATCGATGGATCAGAATGAAATTGATTAACAATGTATTAATGGAATAAAAATTATAAATATAATTAATTTGCTCAAAGTGTAGACAAGAGATAGAAGTAATAATTGTAATAAATTATGCATGCACATACATATTTCACAAATATGATTGATAGGCACAGATCCACTAGTCTTTCTAACCTGTGTATGTAGATGTGTCCAAAACTGGATCACAAGACAAACACAGAAATACAATCCCTATAATCTTTAATAAAGATTACCGTTTTGAAGCAATGTAAACTAATGGGTAGCATGGTGGCTCAATGGTTGGCACTGCTGCCTCACAGTGCCAGGGACCTGGGTTCAGTTCCAGCCTTGGGTGACTGTATGTGTGGGGTTTGCATGTTCTCCTCGTGTCTGCATGGGTTTCTTCTGGGTGCTCTGGTTTCCTCCCGATGTACAGATTAGGTGGATTGACCATGGTAAGTGTGGGGTTATGGAGAAAAGACAAGAGAATGGGTCTGGTTGGGATGCTCTTCAGATGGCCAACAGGACTCAATGGGCTGAATGGCCTCTTACTATGCTGTAGGGATTGCATGACCTGGGAGATACAAATAGTAGTACTTCAAGACAACCAAAACTAGCTGATGAGCTTATATTGATGTGGGTTTTTGTCATCAATATAGATGACAAGGTGATCCCTGTCCCATCCGAAAACAGATATACCCTTCTCTCGAAGCAATTCCCTCTCCCAAATAAACTATTGAATTTGCGGAGAGAGGTAAGACTTATTTAAAATTTCAAGGAAGGGGATGGGTCAGAATATTTTAATAGGCCGTAGAGACTGGGAGCTGCGGAGGGAGCCTGGGATATTTAATTATGAGATTTTGATCAAGTTGTGAGTACTGGCTGCTTCCTGGAATTCTGCAATGGTGAGTGAAGAATTGGCCCAGCTGGGAATAATTATTATTGAGGGTGAGGCCTGAAGATTTGGTTTTGGGAAAAGTGAAGTGAGGATCAGAGTTGGACTGGAAATTTCTTTTTCTCAATTTATTTGGATGTTCAATTGGGTGAAATTTTGCTCCAAAGATGTTGGTGCTGAATTTCTTCATTGTCTTTTAACAGTTAATAGTAGTTATGTGGCGACTGTACCACAATGTTGCCCAATTTCTCAGCCGAAGGGGCTACATACAGCTTTCCTTAGTATGTTTAGAATAAGCTGGTGTAGGTAATGGTCCCATCCAAATGTAATATATCTGTAAAGCTAAATACCCTGGGAACATGAGTCCAGATGTGCCAATTTCTTTCCCATTCAGCTCCAATTGCTCCCTGGCATCTATACACAAATCTTTAGTCTGTGTTGGCAGCAGAGTTGCAATGCTGGTGGCATCTGTGCCCACTGGTAAGCCACACACACACAGAAATGGCTGAAAGACACTAAACCTTTCAGAGAAGGACCACCATGTTTTTTCCAATTGAGGTAGAAGAGACAAAATCTGACATGACTGTGGGCCATCAGGCTATGTGGAACAGACAGCCAGGCTGTGTACAAATTGGTAGATGAGGCACTTGGCCAAATCCCTCACTCCCAGAGCAGTAGATCAAGGCAGAAAAAAATAATCAATTATCTCACCAGATCTAGCAAGGTAAGGCATCCCAGTCCTTCAGCTTTTCTCACTCAGCATGCATGGTCATTAATCAGGGCATTCCAACAACGGTAATCCTTACCCACCCACGAGGAGAAGTGAGCGAGCTTGATACATACTTGTCACGATGGCTGCACCTGAGATGGAAGCCTGCACAATGTTGATGGGTTTAAATGATTGATCCAACACCTCAAAACGCAGAGGTAGCTATCTGCAAGGCAACATTAATAAGGTTGTCTTGGAAACTGTAAGTGCACACACACATATTTCCATTTTCTTGACCTCTTCATGCTGAGGGTTTCAAGTTCATTGCTTCTCACTACAGATCCCATGTAACCACAGGGGGCACAGGAAGAATGGGAGGAGTGCCCTTGGTGTATCTGTTGACCATATTTCATATGAGGTGGATGTCATCTTATAGAAATCTGAGAAAGCCATTCCATTCCAGCTTACCACCCTCTAGCCCAAAGCTAACCTTCAGGTTATATCATCAGCATCAGTGGCATGTTCTTTTTCAACAGAGGAGGTACATTCATCCAGAAGGCATTTAGATGGTGATTTTGAAGATTTATTACTGCCTGCAGCATTGACCCTACTAGTGGGGAGGGGGAGGTGATTATTTCATCTTTCCTGAAGTTTGTCCACACAGTACATACCTGACAGGTCTCTGGTTAATGTTGTACTAAAGGAAATAAATAATTCCATTTATGTAGCACCTTTCACAATCTCAGCATGTCCCAAAGTGGTTTACAATGACTAAGGTATTCTTGAAGTGCCGTCACTGTTGCATTGTCAGAAATGTGGCAGCTAACTTGCGCACAGGAATCTCCCTCAAACAGCAACATTATAATGAGATATTTTGTCTTTTGTTACCTTGGTTGAGTGATAGATATTAATGAAATAATGTGCCTTGTGGTACCTAGGGAGTATGTGAAGTTGTAACAGTCATGGTGTGCAGACACTCTAGTTGCCATAAACAGAGCAGATGCAGCAGCAGAAGCAGTTGGCAGAGATGACCAGAGATCTCCTTACTTAGAGATGATGCATTTGCAAAAATATTACAACAGAAGTCTTATTGACCAAACTTTGTGATGCATTGGTAGTGTCCCTACTTTTGGATCAAAAGGTTTGGATTCAAGTCCCATTTGCTCCATAGGTGGGTCATAACATGTCTCGACAGGTTGATTAAAAATGTCTGCCATGTTTTGATAGTATGAGCTCTTGCAGTGCTATGGTAGTGTCCCAACGTCGCCTGGGTTCCATGTGTGTTGTTTCTCAGGTGAATGTGTCATTGCTTTAACAGAAACAAACTAGCCCTTGTTGCCCTTGACATCAAATATTACAGAATATTTAACTGTGTTTGAACCATTTCCAGTATATGCTCACTGCGGAGTCAAGGGTAAAAAGATTAATGGAGAAAATGAAGACTTATCAGATTCAACCTGCAAACCAAGCACTGGAATTTTACTTCAATATAGATCGGCAGCTGCCTGATTATTTTGAGGTGGGTGACCCATTTTCACTAAGTCTGTTTGATCCAGAAGCCAGTGATGTTGAAACATTGAGAGCTTTCTGGAAACTCTGTTCACAAGATATCCTTTTAGTAACTACGCTGGCTATCTAGAGAACCCTCAGGCTAACATTCTGGGGGCATGCATTCTAATTCCACCATGGCAGATGGTGAAATTTCAATTCAATAAAAATTCAATATGAAAGCTTGCCAAATGGAAACCATGTAACCATTGTCAGTTGTCTTAAAAACTCATCTGGTTCTCTAATATCTTTTTTTGGGAAGAATATCTGCTCTCCTTACCTGATCTAGTTTGTAGTTGAGTCCGAACCCAAAACAATGTAGTTGACTCTGGGTAATAAATGCTGGCCTAGCCAGCAACACCCGCATTCTGTTAGCGAATAAAATAAAGCTAGTCTTAGATATCCTTTTAGCTGGATATCTTTTCTATTTATTATGAAACATCTTGGATCTTCCTTGATTTTACTTGATAATATTTTCTTATGCCCTCTTTTTGTTTTCTTAATTTTATTTCTAATTTCCTCAGCACAAATTTCATACTTGTCTGGGATTTCCATATTACTGTGCTACTTTTGTATCTTAATTGACCTTCCTTTCGTCAAACTATACTCAGTATGCTGTTTCAAGAGGGTTTCTAGTGAGGCACACCCAATTTTTCCAGGACAGTATTTGCTCTGAAACTTGTTCTGTTTTTTTCTTGTATGACTCCCAATAGCTTGACATTGACCTAACATCAAGCAGCTGTTTCTTGTCCATAAGTGCCAAATCATATTTCAGTTCAGAAACATTGGCTTTTCTCCAACTTAAGAGTAGCTCTTGAATTGCACTGATCCTTTACCTTGACCTGAATTATGACTACTTCCACTTGTACTCATTTCATTGCCAAGAGTGTCACTCCCAAAAGCAAAGCCAGAACTGCTCTTGCTGGACTCAAAGTTTTCCTAAATGTATTTGAAGAAGGGTCACTGGACTCAAAGCTTTAACTCTGCTTACTCTCCCCCAATGCTACCAGATCTGCTGATTTTCTCAAGCAATTCCTATTTCTGTTTCAGATTTCCAGCATCCACAGCTCTTTGCTTTAATACAGCTACAGTCGGGTAGTTGAAATTCCCAATGAATACTGCATTTTTCAGTAATTTGAAAATATCTTTGTCATTCTACTCCTAACAGTTTGGGGAATATGTGGTTTTCACCCACCAAACATGATTGCCCTTTCTTTGCTCCTCAGTACAACCCATATGGCTTAATGCAATGATACTTTTGTAATACCATCCATCCTCATGCTGTGATTGTTTCTTTCACCTATAATGCAGCACCTACCCCTACCTAACATAATGTGACATTGTGAAACTGCAGCTTGTCTGATGCTGAGCTATGTGCAATTAAGAAGGAAAATATCGATATAATTAAGAATGTTTGAAACACAGTTTTTCTTTCTGTGTTGTAAATCCTTCCCAAGTGCATACAGTGCATATAGCTGTGATATCAACATTTTGTTTTTACTTTGTTTCCTTTAGGCATGGTCCATATCATTGTCAAAATCTTGTATCTCTGGAATGTGGAATGCAGTTTTGGTTTCGGTTTTGTTAGAAGGAAAAGCAAGTACGTCTGAAGCATTTGAAAATATCACTTTTGTATTTTATTGAGTCCAGGTCACTAAGCATTCTTCTAGATCTGATCTGCAGTCGCATTGTTCTGTTATTGTTAGGTGATATGAAAAAATGTTATTAAGCGTATAAAATAATTTTATGCTAAATTTAAATAGTAATTAGCCGGGAGTTACAAGATGGTGTATTAGTGACTGCTGCCTGAAGCTTTGAAGAGGAACTTAGTTGTTAGTTTTGAGCAGGGCCATAAATGTGGTTTCCATAGTGATGTAATACAAGATTCGCATGTTCCCAGGGATGCATATTACGCTGGCAGTTGCTTCAGAATGCACCAGCTTGTAAAGGCCTCTCAGCCAAGCACCAGCTGTGTGTGTAGGAAGTAACTAATCCTTCCACTTGAATTTGTGCTGGACATTTTGGTTTGGAACATGCAGTGAATGTGGCATTGAACTGTGTCATCTACAGAATGCATGAACTGTCTTGCATTCACCTGGCAGGCAATGTGATTTTGAACAGCTTCTATCATGGGAAAGTACTCTAGATTGATTTTGAGGTGCTCTGGTGAGTTCCTGATTTTGTTACTCTGTATTGCCCCATCCTTTCAGGGAGGGCAGGGGAGCAGGTGACTTGCCCACACATCAGCTGCAACAGGTATGGGGGCCCGCAGTTGCAGTGACTCTGGGTTTGACTCTGGGCAGAGGCTGTGGGAGAGAAAGCTCTGCATCATGCCTTCTGCCACATTGGAACTATAATGTCCCAAGCTGCTGGACAGTGTCAAGAGGCTGATTCCCAGCTTGCCAATGTACACAGCATTGCCACTCCACAGCTAAGTTCTCTGCAGCAAACTGGTCTGCCACCTCACTTTCTAATGAGCTAATCGTTCCCCCTCACCTGAATACTGCCCACTCACACCAGTAATACACCATGTACTGATTCCATCCGTATAACTGCATAAGGTCCATTCAGTTCCATTGTCTGAGCTGAGGCTCCAAATTTTCAAAGACATGACTGCTTCTTCAGTGATGTGGCATTGTTCTCTCTTCCTTCTGTGACTATCTACAATCAGTCCTTACCTGTGCAAATACGCGTTAATCCTATCTTTCAGAGTCACCTCCAACAATTTGCCCACCACCAATATCAGATTCACTGGTCCGTAGTTTCCAGGCTTCTCCTTGCAGTCTTTCTTAAACAATGGCACAATATTAGCCACCCCCAAGTCCTCTGGTACTTCACCTGTGTATATAGCCGACACAAATATTTCTGGTAGGGACCCCACAATTGACTCCCTACCTTCCCATAAAGGCCTGGGATACACTTGGTCAGGTCCTGGAGATTTAGCTACCTTTTCTGAACCCCTGGCTTTGTGCATGGGAAATCGTGTCTCATAAATTTGATTGAGTTTTTTGAAGAGCTACCAAGAAGATAGATGAAAACAGAGCAGTAGACGTTTTGGCAAGTTGCTGCATGGTAGATTGGTTAGTACTGTTAGATAACATAGGAACCAGGGAGACATAGCCAATTGGATACAAAATTGGCTTGATGGTAGAATACAGAGGGTGGTGGTAGAGAGATGCTACTCGGACAGGAGGCCTGTGATCAGTGGTTTGCGTGATGATTGGCTCCGGGTCCACTGTCGTTCGTCATTTATATCAATGATTAGGATAAGAATATAGGAGGCATGTTTAGTAAGTTTGCAGATGAGATGAAAGTTGGTGGACTGTGAGGAAGATTATCTGAAAGTACAACAAGATCTTCTATTACTGAGCTAATTACTAATTAATATTGCCGAGAAAAAGACATGCTATCAAAGCTTTTTGTCTTGCACTCATCCAGATAGGACTGCAAGAACAACCACTCTTAAAGGAATTTATACTGCATGAGAAGAGGGCGGTGAATAGTTGGCGATGAATTAGGTAGAGGGTTATCCTGGAGAACACATGCACAATGGTTAGCTGCCAAGCTATTGCTTGGGCTCAAGGTCCCACTTTTGGTCTTGAAAAGTATCCAGTCTACCTCAAATTGAAGTGCAAAGAAATTTCTTCTTCCAGAGGGTGGTAAATGTCTGGATTTCTCTACCCAAGAGTGTTTTGGAGGCTAGATCACTGAAAGTATTTAAAAAAGAGTTAGACAGACTTTTGAAAGATAACCGAATTGACGGCTATCCTGAGCCAGCACAAAAGAGGAGTTGAGGCCCGGGGAAGATCACCCTCGATCTTGGTGAATGGTGGTGCAATTTCGAGTCGTCAAATAGGCTACTCCTGCTCCTATTTCCTTATGCGTTCAAATGACCTCGGAAGGGGTAAGTTGTCTAAAATCTGAGCAATAAATGAAGCTTATTGTTTCGTAGACACCAGCAGTGTTTTCCAGTAACAAGATGCTATCTTCAAGCCAAAAAAAAAATACTGCTTGGAAATCATTTTTTTTGCATCTCATTTCTGCTTTTGATTGTTAAAAGACCCTGTGTCAAATTGCCCTTTGTAAACACTGATATAAACTTGGGAGTGATTGTGCTTTAATTAAGTCAAAATTAGTCAATAATTTTATTGTTAACTTGTCATTATTATTCAGAGATTTGGTCCAAAGCCTTTTATTATGCATCATATTCATGATCTAGCAGAGGTGGCAGCACAGTGGTATAAAGTCAGGGGGGAGTTGCCCTGGAAGTCCTTAGCACTGACTCCAGACTCAATGTGGTCTCATTGTCCTTGACCTTGGATCCCCTTCTCTGGCCTGGTGCTCCATTTTCTTCTGTAGTTCTACACTAACAGTATTCAACAGCAGCCTGTAACATTAGTATAGCTTTCCTTTAAGAGGGAAAGACTGACGTTAAGAATGGAAGGCTGGTCGTACCATATGTTATCCACACAATGCTGTTTGACCTTCTGCTAAGCACAAAAGCAGCCTAGTGTCACTACCTCTGGGGCAGAATGTTTGGGGTCAAATCCCACCTGTCCTGGCAGTGTGTCATAAGATCTCCAAAAAGGTTAATGAAAATAACTACACCTGAACTCGATAGGTAGACATGTTCCAAATTGTGACCACTGCGCCCAATTAGTAACACAACATTTTTTTTTAGTCCTGCCTGTTATGATATGTCTGTTAAAGTGGCTGTTTCACTTTAGACATGGAAAAGGGAATTTGCATTGTACCTAATATTTCCCCTAATATTACCAAAGAATGTTTTCTGGCTTAGATTATAAGCTTGTAGCAATGGTCGTAAGCTGTGTAAAAGTGAAGTGATATGATGATGATGATGATGATGATAAAACATTGGTGTACCTTTGCTTAAATAACTTAGAAATTACCTAAATCATTCATAAAATTCACTTTCCAGAATGGACCCCTGAACAAGTGGCTGATGTTGCAGTGTTGTATAGCACATGTACAGATGTTGTATCTGCTGACATTCCCTTATCTGTGGAGGTGAGTAGAAACTGTTAATTTCTTCCTACTAAAAGATAACAAGACAAAATAAATTCAAAGATCAAAGGATGTGAATGGATGTTGCAGAAAGAAGTAGGATTGTGGAAAGTCTAATTTGCAACTTGTTGAAATAGAAACCATTCAAAAGTGACAAATTGCTGTTGTTCCCAAAAGAAAGGATGGGCTGGAGGGAATGGGAGTTAAAACTATTCCCAGAAGAACGTCCAAGGCCCACTGTAAAGTTGTCTGTTCATATAGCTTTAGCAAAACTTAAACTATATGGTTTTATGTCTTGTGATGGAATGGTTAGTGTTCCTGCCTCTGATCCAGACGATACAGGTTCAATTCCAGTTCAGGGCCAAGGAGGATACATTCATAATATCAGCAAATAGATTGAGTACCAAATTCGTCTGACCTATACCAATGGCAGCCAATAAGGGCAGAGTGATTCCTGGTAAGCTATGTGATGGAACGAAAAAATAGCCTCTTGGATCACAATCGATAACTCCAGGCTACAGCATGCATATTGTCACAGAAAATCAATCCCTGATTGAACTGTAATACTCCACCACAAATACCTTCACAAAGAACAGATCAAAGCTTATAAATTTATTGGAATTCTTTGAGGATGTAATAAATTTGATGAATATCCAGTGGAGACTCTGGGACAGAATAATATTGTGCTGTTTTTTGGGAATAAAATTAAGGATGAGAAGACCAGTTTCAGAAGGATGTTGCACACAAAGTGTCCCAGCTGGCAAACTGGAAACAGGAGACTTCCAAACCTGCAGGACCCTACATGGAAAAGGCATGCAATGCCTTGAATATGAAAGTTAAACCCAATTTGTGGATTCTGGTGAAAAATTGGGAAGGCACATGCTTCACCCAGGTGCTCAGCATCCCTAACCTGGTGGCCTTAGAGGGACTGTTCGAGGTTACTGACAAATAAAAGCTAAGATATTTCCTTTTCCAGGCCAGAGTTTTATTTCTTTAGGTCAAAGGAGAGACATCACTGCTCCTGCCCCTTCTTGATCTATGAAGTACTATGG